TTTGTTTTCCAGAAAGAAGATTTATTATAGAATGGTGCCTCGCCTGTTGCGAAGAAGGTGTTTTTCTTTTGGTTTCCAGTAGATAGCATCTAAGCCTCTTGGATCTCTGCTTTATATAAAGTCTTAATAATGTCTTTTTTTCCCTTATAGATGTTTAATCACACTTGCTACCCTCAGTTTCAGTTCCTGTCCATGTAAGTGACAGTTTTGGTAGTGTTTCCTCAGATTCCCCTGGGGTTCCGCAGCATTCTGTCTCGGAAGGAATGAGGGGAGGCGCCCTCTGGGTTGAAGGTTGGGGGCTGCGACTCAGCTTCTGTTTTGCAACCGTGACTGGTAAAAATCAACTGTTGTTTCTCTGCCATCCCCACTTTTCTGCCATCTCTGTTTCTCTGCCTTCTGCCCTGATGACTGGGCACTGCCACCGGCTGCATGGAGCTCACAGCACTCTCAGGTAGGGCTGTTCAGAGAAGTCACCACACTTTCTTTGCTCCCCCTCCTCCTACAGGGAGTTCTGGCTGTGATCGGCAGCGTCTTTATTTCTCCCAGTCCACCACCTGACAGAGTTCTGACCTGTAGTAGCTCTTTTGCACAGATCCCATGCTCAGATGTGCTGGTGTGCAGTTTGGGTGTTTTTTGTTGAGTTTTAGATGTTCAGCTTATTATTGTTTCAAGGGGAGAGATCTGGGGACGTCACTCTGCCATGTTTCCAAAGATCCCAGGAAATTCTTTTTTTGTGTCATTATAATTCTGTGAAATAACCTAAAACTGGTTGCTCCTTTAATTTATTAACAGAGACCGTTTTAAATGCTACTTCTCAGAACTAATATAAAAATCTCTTCCCATAACTGGACTATATGTTTGTTATATTTTAACTTATTTGCTTTTTGTTATTTGTTGTGATGTCTCCAACTTATAGTTTGTTCCCATTGTTCTCTTATTAAAGGCATGAAATTTTCTATTAAAACAGATAAACTCTGTTTTCAATTTTAATTTTTATATAGCCTATTTGAAACACAGAAAATGCCCTAGTGGAATTTTAAGAATTTATTCAGTTTTTGTTTAATTTTATGTTTCAAGTCTATGAAGCATATTCTAAAGCAATAATCATAACACTTAAAATATACTTACTTGCATAACATTTTTGTTGAAGTCAGTTTTAGGTATCATATGTTCTGTAACATTCCTGGCAAGGGAGTGCAAATAATACATGAAAATGAAACTTCCCTTTTTTACTTCAGCTTCTTTCTTTGATTGAGAAGTTATGAATATGTCTTGCCTATTTTCACAAATAAAAATGTGTCCAATACAATTAACCTACCCTATTAACTCTACTAAACATCTGCTGTATTTGTTAAACACTTCAAAATTTTGTTCTTAACCAGTTCATTCTAAGTAATTTCCCAGTTAAATATTTACATGAGCTTGCATGACGATAAGCTCTAGCTGGTCTTTAATAATCAGCAGATTGTCCAGAGAGAGAGCTATATGAAATGTAACACACTGTAATAGCTATCCACTGGAACTTAAAATGGCATACTAGATTGGACTATTTTTGCATATTTTTATCCTAGCCAAAAGAGGTACAGCCTTATGAATTCCTTTCTTGGTGAACATTTTTAATGTCCAACATTCCTGACAGACATATGCAGATGTTTATATCATGAATATCCTAAATATATTCTCAAGCTTCTCTTTCTGAAAGGCAATAAATCTTTATGTTTGTGAAATTTTAGGAATAACCCAGTTTACAGTCATTTTCATAGCAGACTAAATAGATAAAAAAGTAGAAAAAGTAGATAGGCATTATTCTTTGGCAAATTAAACAGAAAAGAAAAAAATGTATCAATTATGCAAATATGCCATGTGCACAAAGACACTTAAGATATGATTCCCTAACTAGAAAAATGATATATGTCTGTAAAATCTCAAGTAGTGGTCAAATATTTAAATAAGGTCTGTAATAGAGATGATATTATAGGTTGTAAATGATCTATTATTAAGTGAACAGTAGGCAGTTTTACCCTAAGATATCAGAGAATGGAGGAATCGCTTTAGTTGAGGAACTCAGACAAGACTGAAAGCTCTCCAATGTGGTATTTAAGTCCAAGTCTACGTTTTGAAAATAAATATTATGTGTGGAGCAGAACCGTGTTTTCTACCATCACCACCAACCAGTGTTATTCTATTTCAGTGTTTTCTTCCTTACAATTCAATTTACTGTTTATTGAATCTCTTCTATAAGTGTGATAGAAGATAAAAAAAAAAATGATCCTCTGTCCTCTAGAAATCATAGTCAACTAAGAGGAAAAGTAAAATATACAAATAATGACATTTACAAGGTTAGAGGAAGAAAGAATATGGGAGGGTTCTGAGACAAATGCTAAGGCCTACCGAAGTTTAATTTAAGTAAACTGGGGCTTAGGTATATGTATAACTTTCATAGTAAGTAATAAGTAAATTTATTTTTTGAATTTATTAAATGAGAGGAAGAATGAGCTTGGTAATTGTAAAACATCTACAAATTTTAATTTGTAAAACTCATCTACAAATTTTAATTTGTAAAAAATATAATTTTTTATAGTCGATTGGCCTGTGTTTTATTAATGACAATATTAATATCATTTTTCTATGTACATGTCAACTAATGTTTGGTAAATACAGCTCAAAACTGTTCTGAACACTAATACAATGTGGCTGAGATTTAAAATGAGTCACGAATAATTCAAATAGTGAGTAATCCATTGGAGATTAAAATAATTTCACAATTTTTCACCGAATTCCTAGACTTAAGAAAGGAAAAGGGTGGAGAGAGGATTCAGAATCATGAACATTCAGGAGGCATGTAAGTGGGTTTATGTAGGCAAATGTACTTTATCTTGCTATCTGGACATTGCACACAAAAGGTTCTCAAAAATAATTTTAATCCATTGAACACATTTTAAATCAAGTTTAATGTTTTTTGTGTTATGTATGCTTTTGTTTCCTTTGAAAAAATTATAAAGGAAGTGGAATTTTTATTATATGTGGCTCAAAATTAATAGTAATCTCTTGATAAATGTTTGGTGTGTATATGTTTTAGTAGCTCTTTTAAGAAACAGTGAAAGAGCTGTCAGCATTTGGATGGGTATCAAAAATGTTATATATAAGTTTGACTAATTCATGAAATGACACTAGTTTCCTAAGGGTAAAAGGGAAGAGCTTAATGTAGAGCCAAGATTGTGTCAGTCTGTTAAATAATGATACAGCTCCCTATTATTATATTGTAATTAATTCTGGGTATTTTTGATTTTTAACATTTTTTTTCTTATACACATTAGGAATTTACCATCCTAAAGTTGGCCTAATTAGCCAACTTTCCTTAGTTACATAACATTTGGCAGGTGTTTTTTATAGCAACAAACAGAACTAATCACTTTTTTCATTCCTTGGTTTTTATTTCTATCAAAATCAATAAAACATAGGCTCCACATGTCCTTATAACATTAAATTTTTCAAAAATAGATGAAATGAATGTAATAAATACATACATTTCATTAGTATTTTGTGGAGGAGTCAGATTTGAGGAAATACTGAAGATTATTGATACACGTAGAATTTTTTGTACTAATGTTTTTTAAAAATCAGTTTCCATAATTCATGCTAAATTATGACAGCTTTAATCAAATGAAACCTCTCTGAATAAAAGATTAAAATGTCTGTAACTTTTTTCTATTCAAAATAAAATTAGATGGTAAAATTATGCATGTTACAACATTTTGAAAATTTAGTTTCTATGAAAAATGAGAATATGCATGATAGATAATTATAGATCATCACAAGCACATCTGATGTTTTAGTTTTAAGGTAGCCATGACTTTTAAAGGAAAAAAGGAGTGAGTCTGGTCAAGCAGACAATTGGATATGTGGACAATTGAATTAGAAAATAAACCAGGGTTATAAATCTATAATTATTGGCCTAGAGAATTCAAAGCCCACTGGCAAGAGAATGTGGACTGAGAAGAAAATGAGCCTAAATCTCCCACATAAAGCTTGAATAGGGAAGGAGGAAGCATCAGGAGAAACTAAGAAAAACTTTTCAGAAGTAACAACTTAGCATTAACTGCTGAAGATTTTTTAAAGTTAGCATTATCATTTTGACTGTCACAATGAATTGGAATTCCTGTATAACAATAACTATCTGTAAGAATCTGGAAGAGTTGACTTCCAGATTAACAACACCTGGGATTTCATGGGCCTTTCTTACGATCTGAAAAATGATTATCTTCCCTACCACTTGACAATATTATGAGAAATTATTAAATAATGTCTATGATACTAAAACTTAAATGTTATGAATAGACATGTTGAAGGTAACGTCATAATCATGTGTTTTCTTGGTTTCTTAGAGGATCTATACAGAGCTATCAATCACAAATATAGATATATTTACAGAGTTTAAATACATAAAGAGGCATTTTTTTTCTGCTTGCAAATATTGTTACCATTTATTTATGGTAATTTGGTGAAATGTGGTTCTGACTATGTGGGAGTCATCACTGGAAGTGGACAGTGGGCCTCACACCTGGTTTGGAATTACTTTTTTTTTTCTTCCTTGGAGTTAACTATCAAGATAAACCAGTAAAAGAAGGACAGTTCATCAATTAATATATCATAAAGAGGCATTTTTTTTCTGCTTGCAAATATTGTTACCATTTATTTATGGTAATTTGGTGAAATGTGGTTCTGACTATGTGGGAGTCATCACTGGAAGTGGACAGTGGGCCTCACACCTGGTTTGGAATTACTTTTTTTTTCTTCCTTGGAGTTAACTATCAAGATAAACCAGTAAAAGAAGGACAGTTCATCATTATTAATATATTACATAGTCTAACCTTGGAAGAATTCAAATCACTTTAAAATTTTTGTTTAATTAGTAAACTAGATATTAATTTCCACAACATTCTTTGTGAGCCAGGTGTACATGAAACAGTTTATTAACATGTGTCTTTTTTTCCTCATAGGGTTCCCTGGGGATTCAAGGGCCCCAAGGTCCACCTGGAAAGGAAGGTCAGAGGGTAAGTAAACTTGCAACAACTGGCAAGCATTGCTAGCTCAGGGGTTACTTATTTCTGAACACTAATTAAAATAAAACCAAAATATAGCAAACAGATGGGCATAAGGAGAGTATCAACTATCCAAAGACTGAAATTAGAGAATTTGACAAAAACAATCCAGAAAATTCTATATATTTTCAAGATTGGCAGCACAAATGTAGAGATATAGTTTGGGTAAAATGAATTAACTGTAATTTGATCTAGAGCATATTTGGTTATATTTGGGGAGTTTTAGTTATACTGATATTTGCAGAGTTAAGTTGATGAGTATCTTTGTGGAATTCCAGCCTGTTCATGAATTCTGTGGATTGTGGATATTAACTACATTCTTTAGCCAAATTAAATTATTGACATTACTGATTCTGTAATTCTATCATTACTATTTACTGCCTTTGAGATAAACTATGTAGAATATGAATAAATTGTACTTACAATTGGGAGTATAGCAATTACCTTTCATCTCTAGTCTAGGTAGCGTTATCATCCCTACTGAAAAGAATCCCTGCAGTAATAATCACTCAGCTTCTCCTGAATGCTTTTTAGCAATGGGGCACCCCATTCTTGTGGTTTATTATTATTACTCTTTTAGATCATTTTTACATCTGAAAATATTTTATGTATGCTTTCTCATATGATTATTATTAACTTCTGACCTTACAGGGAGGATTCTGTGACTCAGAGAGTTTAGGTGACTTGTCTAAAATCAAAGCTAATAAAAAGTAGAACCAGGCCTTAAATTTGGGGCTTCTGTCTCTTAATCCCACATTATCTTTTACTGTCTCAGTGTATAACACCAAATCTGTCTTTTAGTCATTTTTTTTATTATTTCCAGTCCTGCCGTCTGGCAAATAAGTCTGTTGCTGCAAATATGTCAGAGTCCTTCAAATATTTGAGGACCAATGGTGTATTTTACTAAGGTTTATCTCTTATCAGGTTAATAAAATTTCAATTCTCTTAACTCTTTCTCTTCTCATATGAATTTCTGACCCTCTAACATTCTGGTAGTCTTTCCTAGAAAACAATCCTGGGCCTTCTGGGGGTGTCAGGACTGGGACTGAACACTCTCAGCCTTATTTAGGACCTAGTAAAATGTGGCAAGTATGCCCTTTACTATATGCAGTATACTTCCAATACAGCCTGAGATTGAACCAAGGCTTCTGTGTATGTGTTGTATTGTTTTCTTTTTTAAATCTAACACCTTCCACTAGAGCAGGTCTGTTTTTAATTCTTGATTCATTTGGGGGGGAGGGATGGTAATTGCAATTAAGATTTGATTTAGACTGAATGATTTCTAAGTTTTAATTTAAAAAATTCTATGTCCAGAATTTTTGTGAACACAAAAGGAGTTAATAAGTTTTGATGGCTAAGAAAATTAAAACTTTGTGAAAAATGGCTAACATTTATGGGCTACCTATGATGTGTTAAATGCTTCATAATTATTATTTAATTTATTCTCACATTAGCCCTATGAAGTAGGTTCTACTCTAATCTTCATGGAGAAACTGAAGTTTCTAAGCAACTAGGATAGGGTACATTGCTAGTAACTGGAACTATGCTGATACTTTAAAATTATTTACAAAGTAGTCACATTTGGGTTCTACTTTGAACACCTGTGTGTACAATTGTAGTTTCCCTTTAGCTCTACAGCCTCTTTCCATTTAAGAGTTCATTAATCCACCTGAATCAAAATTTTAGTCTCAGGAAAAAATTTTAAAATTACTTCCCTAAATTTATGTTTTTGTAGCTGTCTTGAGCATTTAACCTACTGGGGGCCAAGGAATCGATGAAATGACCTTGTGAAGTTAATTTCCAGACTTCTTATCTTGTTTTCTCACAGTGATAGCCAAAATGTCTATTGCATCTAGAGCTATGTTTCTGAACTAATTTCTGTCTTCAACATCCAAGAAATATTTTCCTTCTAGTAACTACCCCTTCCTGGAAACTGATGATTTTATACTTGGTGATATCCAAGATATAGAAGGAACTCAGGTAACTTGGGTTATTGCAAAGAAAGCAATAATCCAGTTGAAAAATGGGCAAAGGACCTGAATAGACATTTCTCAAAGGCAGACATACGAATGGTCAGAAGGTATATGCAAAGGTGCTCAACATTGCTAATCATCAGGGCAAAGCAAAGCAAAACCCCAGTGAGATATTACTCCTGTTAGAATTATCAGAAACACAAAAATATAACAATTTCTACAGATAGAGTAGGGATATCTACACTCCCGTGTTCATTGCAGCATTATTAATAATGGCCAAGACACAGGAAAAATCTAAGTGTCCATTGAAAAATGAATGCATAAAGAAAAAAGTATGTATAGATACACACAATGGAATATTATTTGGCCTTAGAAAAGGAGGAAGTCCTGCCAGCAAGGATGTGTCAGCATGGATGAACCTGGAAGACATTATGTTAAGTAAATAAGCCAGGCGTAGAATGACCAATGCTGAACCTTCTCACTTACATGTGGAGTCTAAAAATGTCTGATAGGAACAGAGAGTAGAATGGTGGTTACCAGGGGTTGAGGGAGGGGAATATCGGAAGATATTGGCAAAGGGGTACAAAGTTTCAGTTAAGCAAGGGAAGTTCTGGAAATCTCGTGTACAGCATGGTGACTATAGGTTAACAATACTATATTGCATACTTGAAATTTGCTAAAAAAGGTAAGTCTTAAGTGTTTTCACCACACATAAAAAAGGTAGCTATGTTAAATGATAGATATGTTAATTAGCTTGGTTGCGATGAATATTTCACAATGTATATCAGATTATCAAGTTGTACACCTTAAATACATACAATTTTTAATTGTCAACTATAACTCAATAAAGTAGAAAATAATAATAATAATAATAATAGTAATAGTAATAGAAATAAACATATTTAATTTCAACCCCCCCAAAATTCTTATATTCTCTAGGTGGTTTGAGATGGCAGGGCTGTGTGTGTGTGTGTGTGTGTGTGTGAGAGAGAGAGAGAGAGAAATATTCAACCTGAGATCTACCCTCTTAACAAGGTTTTAAGGGCATAACAACATTGCACTTTGACTAATACTGACATGCGGTCAGTCCAGTGCTCCACCTCTTGTTTTTGTGAAAACTTCTGCCCTCAGAGCTTCACTCGTCCTGTTATTGTGTGCTTGCTTTTCTGAATCTGAGTTGGAATTGATCCTTGTCATTGTTAAACTTCATCTTTCAGATTTTAGTCCCTAATACTATTATATTAGGATTTTTCCCAATGAAATATCTCCTAGCTTAACATCACCTTAAATTTTAATCAGCCTACCCTCTAAGTCTTCATTCAGATCATTAATAAATCCTGACTAGAATAGGGCCTGACAACTCTATGTAACACCAGCAAAGGCTGCCATTTTGTCTACCATTCATATTTTTGTGACATGATAATCAACTCATATACAAGTACATTTGAAATTTACCTTCTTCCCACATTTCTTAATTTGGCTTGTAGGATAATTATGAGTCTTTGTAAGACTAACTGAACTGAAAAAAAATTCAAATGAGGCTTTTTAAAAATAATAATGCTTCAAATTGAAATTGCACTTTAGCAAAGCTTACATTTCAGAAGATGGGTTAAAGAATAAATTAAACTTATGTATTCTTCATGGTAATTATAGAGAAATGCATTCAATTTGTAAAGTTCAACCAGTTTTATGCAAATTTATTCCGTTTATAAATATGAATAACCCAGATAATTTTATATTACTTTTATTTTATCTTCTATCAAGAATAATATGGTGTTAGAATCTAAAGAATGTAATAGAATTTTAAATATGCTGTTAGGCATGGCTTGTCATTATTGCTAGTGCTCTTCTATAATTGTATTTATCAAAGAGAGTGGCCAGAACAGGTATGATTGACATTATCCATGTTTACAAATGATTATTTCCAAATATACTTGATGATTTATTCTGCTTTATAAGCTACTTGAAATGGAAGCAAATTAATTTAAAAAATGAGCATTCATACATATTTATGTTTAGGTCCTTATTAGTGCCACTCTTTCTTCTCTGTGCAAGAGTTAGGTTGTACTCAGCTCTTTTAGACATGTAAAATATAGTGTATGTAGATATGTGTACATGTACATACCTACGTGCATACATACACATATACTGAAAACTGAGACCAATAATTTTTCATTTCATTAAAGCTTACAATAGAAAACAACAGAAAAATCTATGAATTTAAAATTCTTTGTATTAACCCATTGTCAAGAAACTCTTATGTTTGGTTGCAGCTGTTTGACTAGGAAGGAATTGACTATCATTAAGTTTATAAAATATGTAGTAAGTCTTAAGCACCTCACTCTTAGGCCTTAAAAAAGCCGAGCATTTAATTTAATTAAACGAATTATTGATTTGTTGGTTTTCCTCGATGATTAAGTAGATAGTAATTTCTGCTCTACCAATATCTCATAATTGTGAGTTTCAAACATGGGTATCACTTGTAAACATACTTTGAAAAATACTAAACATTGTAGAAACTTATTACTATTACTACTATTATTTTTATTAAAGCATAAGAATTCTGATTAATAAATGCATTTTATTTTTCTATTTAAACCTTTGTGTAGAGTTTTCAATAAACACAAGAAGACTATTATTTTTTCCAAGTAACACACCAAAGTTCTGTTTGAATTTTTCATTAGTTAATTTTATTCCTTTCATTATCTTTTATGCTGCTAAATCTCAGATTATAAAGTGTTCATTTAATAAAATATAGTGGTAGTAAGTTTCTCAAATTCTAAAGCTGCTTTTAACCTCCACAATGTTTGGTGGTGACATATATCTGAGATTAGTGGGCTTTGTTTTTCTTAACCTCCTGATTTTCTTCTTTAAATCTTTTATGTGCCATTAAACGTTTTTCCCACTTTGTTACCTTTTTAAAGTCCTACAAGTAAAAAATTTGGCTGGCATATTTTCAAGTGTCATATCCTTTATAAA